GGTAAAGCTAAATAGTAATAAAAATACACTAAAGAGCAGATGATCCCAAGCAAAGCCAAGATGAGTGCTCTGCATGAGGATTAGGAAGTGCTAAGACCTTGTTTAGTTTTCCCTGGGGAATCACAGACAACTTCTGAAGTTAATTTTGATTACAGATGAGCTGAGCTGAAGCATAAAGTCCTACATTTGCCCTTTTCCTACTGGCTCTTAATTGTTCCTCTGGAACTAGAGCTATGTTACGTTGGACACTTGGCCTTTACTTAAATATCCACATAATATTTTTTGCTTTCTAAAAAAGAACTGCTATTTCTGTTATTATACTATCAAAGGAAGACAAAATTTTAAGTTCCATAGATTTTTGTCCTGGGTGAATCATCATATTTGGTTTCTATTACATGAAGAGAAAGGCTGACTACTTAATAATAAAGTTACATGAGGTACAGCATCCATGATTTTTAATTTGAAATGATGAATTAATTGATTTATGAAGACTGTCAACGACAGCAAAACTTTTGTCCTTTTTGTAAAGGACACCTGACTCTCATTCCTTGGTTTTTCTGGAGGCTAGTAGTAATGGAAGAGATGGAAATATAATAATGATCCTTATTTATTTTCTAAACAAATGACCTATTGAAAGACTTTAGAGTCATTAATTTACTTTCAAACATTTTATATGTTCAAGTTATTTCATATCCTATATAAAATAGTGACTATACCAATATGCTTTATGACAAAACATATTAGAAATTATAATACTGGGTGGTGGACAGAGAGAGAGAGTAATGGAAGGGGGAAGGAAGAGACTGAGATTATTTTGGTATTCTTTTTCTGTTTCTAGATTATATATGTGTGTCTTAGTCTCATCTTTATACCCGAAGATTTGCAATTTCATTGTTTTTGGAACTTCCTTTGGCATGTCAGCAGAATTTTAAAAAGACGTGAAACTCAAGGCAATTTTGTTACTTTTTAGCAGCTTTTAAAAGACCAGTATTTCACAATTTAAAGAATATCTTGTCAGGATGAGTTATTGTCTACTTTCTAGTCACCATAGCCCCCACACGAATCTTATCAGGGATATTTGAGAATGACATATTATCTCTGCCTTCTTCATCCAACATATTTCATCTCTTGTTGTATAGTTATTTGTGGCTTGTTAATCTACTTTAGGGTTTTGAAAGCTTCCTGTAGTTATAAGCATAGTACATATGTCAGTATTTGCACTCTTTGGGAAGAGGATCCATAGCTTTTAACCCATTCTAAAAATAATAATGACAATAATAATAACAACAATTATATATATATGTATATATGGGTACATCAGTGTCTCAAATTAAATTAAGGACTACTACTAGAGAATGTACTTTATATTCCTAGATATATTTTAAGCAACCAGACATCAGGAACTATATTTCCTACTGAAATATATTTCCAATAACACTTGTCAATGTCCTCCCATAAACACTGTTGAACAGATGGATTTTAGAATGTCATGAAACAGGGCCTAATTACTTGGGCTCAGATCCCCCCCAGTAGTAGGTTAATTATGAACTCAGGTTGCACACTTACCTCCTTTAGACATTGACAGCCATTTACTTAAGCATTTAGTTAGTTCTCTTCCTCAAACTTTCTTCTTCTCTAAAGAAAATTGAACATTGTTGGTGGAATCAAATTCTCTTCAGGTAACTATATAAGGAAAGGGAAAAATTAAAATGTCCTTCCCAATTATGAGCAAGACAAAATAAGTTTAAATACCTGTTGGATCTAAATAATTCACAGGTTGGCCTCTTTATGAAGTCATATCATACAGTCATCTTCATGTTAAAAGAGTTATTAATTCAAAAAATCAAAGTGTACAAAGTCTCTGTGATGAAGATGTGACTCTTAGCCTTAAAATGTAATCTAAATGAGAAGGAAAAATAAGAGAATATAAAACATTAAGCTATTAATATTTCCTTGGTTGGATTAGAAAGCTGTCATGGTCACATCCCTTTGTCATTTGATTTCCCCAAGAAATGAACAGCAACAGAATGGAGGGCCACAGTTATCTTAAGGTCCCTTTAAAATGAGCCTTGGCAATAATAAGATAATATCACTCCACCAAGTGGTATTTTAAAAATTCACCTAAATAATACTAACAAAGTCATTAACAAATTATAATTTTGTCAGTCTCTTAAGACATATAAAATATTTAACCACAATCATTAACTTCTCGTGTGTAGGGAAGTACATAGCTAAGTTATTTTTTTATGGCTAAAGAGAAAGTATTTACTCTTTAGGATGAAACTTTATTATGTCCATTCCATCAGTTAAAATACCATTAATAATTAACCAGATACTAAGTATAAAGTTAAGAGAACTTGGCATAGAAATGCAAAAATAAAATAACTACCTTATAGTTTTTGTACCTTGTATCTGCTTTTTTTAAAGCAATGTTTTATTTTATTTTTAGCTATTAGCCATTATAGAACTATTAATTCCTTTGGTTCTAGGAGCAGAAACCTAGGGGCCAAGACCAGTTGAATGAGAGATTCAAACTCTCCTGCCAGAATCTATCACCCACAAACACATTGGCATCTCCTTATCTCCCAGGCCCACTTTATTCCACCACAAAATTCTTGGATGTTGTTTGGAACTTGCTTTCGGAAGATTTGGAATAATGGTTCTCAATCCTTTCTGCACAGCAGAATCACCCAGGAGTTCTTTAAAAATACAGATGTTTGGGTACCACTTCCAGGAATTGCTGATTCACTTGGACTGTGATCAGGCTCAAATTAAGTGTTTTTAAAGAACTCGGGTATCTCTGATGCAAGAGAAAGGCTGGGAATCACTCCACTCATGTAGCTGCCCTTCCGGCCTATTTTCACAAGCCCAAGTACAAGAACTTCGGCAGTATACTCAAGGGCTATAAGTAATAACATCATACTTTAAATATATAAAATGATAATCAACATAGTCTGAAAGGGTTTGACCTCTGTGCACCTGGGATTTCTAATTTCAGCAAGCACATAATTATTCAAGAACAACCTCATTGTGAATGCATACAGTTGTTGCATAAATAAAGACAAAACATTTTTAGTAAAGTCTTAAATGAAGACTTTGTGCTTTTTTAAAGTAAACCCCTAAATCATATTTTAATGAATACAGTTATTTGTTAACCAGCAATTGATGTCTTAATTTCAACAACTAGATGCATAGATAGAATCCAGCTGTTGTGTACCTAATTCATTTCGTTAAGGACTTCCCTTCAGGCCTGCTTTTTGTTTGTTTTGTCATACTGATATTATTAAAAATAGCTCGAACATGAAAGTTTTAAAATATTCTAGAAGCTCAATATTTTAAAAAAATATTAATCAAATAAAACAATGATGTCACTAAGGATCTTCTTCTCTAAAGCACCAGGAAATACTTGACCACATATAAACTGTCATGGGGTCTGATCCCAACAGATGTCCTTTTCAAGCACCTGTTGGAGTCAACTCTGCCACTGGACTTTTAGAGGGGATGGAGTTTTAATTTTCCAAAAGCCATGAGCCAGCCAATTGGAATGTCAGACATGCACATTTGCTGCTTATGTTTCATTCTATAAACCAGCTCCTGAATTGCTGTGTTGATCTCTTGATTGTGTAGTTAGTGAGAGAAGTCTACAGATAACTTTAGGATTGACTCCCTTTGTTTATAGAGGTTTATTAAAGGGTATTGTTTTCACATAAACCAATAATGAAACACATTATGTTTTTCTTACCCTCTGAGAAGTCTGTCAACAGTTGACTTGTTAAAAATCTACAACTGTGGTTATAAATTGAAGAAAGCAGAAAGCTCTCTCAGAAAGCTCACTTACAAAACTGTTTCACATGTCTCCTTAGCAGAGAGTCAAAGTTTGAGATTGATTGTAATGGAATAGCTAAAATGTCACATAACTTAACACCAAATGTGCTTGCGGCTGATTCCATTCAAAAATTGACACACACAAGCTGTGTTAGTAGTGTGACCTCAAGTAAATTCATCATGTCTATGTATAGTAAAGTACTGAGCACATATTCTTGGGCTGGAGGTCATGGGTTATGCATAGCTCTTCAAACACTTATATTTTGAGACAGCTGAATTACTTGACCTGACTTCAGTGAGTGGGCAGATCATCTTCATCTTTATGCCTTCCTGCCCTTTCTAAATATAGTAGGGCCTTTAACAAGAGGATATTTTAAGCAGCTCATATTCACCCGTCTCATCAGGAGAAGCCTATTTTGGCCACTTGCATGTGTCAGATCTGCATGTGTGCATAGTCAGTCTGTTGGACTCCTAGTCCATGCTTCTCACCACTCATATAAGAAACTTGCAAACATAGACACTGGGATTGCAGGCTGAGAGTGCTGGCTTTGAGTCAGTGGGTAAACATAAGAGAAGGCAAGACACTTTAGGGATGTGAATATGCTCCTGAAATCATCCATTTCAGACATTTGCACATCAGTCCTCAGCTTTTTGGATCTGTTTTCATAAAACCTGGCTGTGATTTTGCTCCAGAGACCTCCACGATCTTGCCGCTTTTAATAAATATTTATAGAAGGCACTGCCAGCCTTTGGATAAGGGAAACTAATGAGAAACTGCCATCCAAACTCTGAACGGCAAAAACAAAAGGAAGCAAAACCAAAAAATCCAAAACAAAGCCAAAAAAGAGCAACTCAGACAATCCGTGCTCACAAGAAGACACGGAGAAAAATACCAAGATGTAACTTTGATTTGATAACTGGATTTATCAGTCACGTGACTCTCATACAGTGGGTACTTTGTATTTTTCTACTTTGAAAAACAAGTGCAAATCTATGTTATTCTGCATAATGGGGACCAAAAATTTATGAGTGTGAGAAAACACAGACTCTAAAAGCAAGATGGAATTCAAGCAGGTAAACCCTGTTCCGCAGTCATATCATTCCAGTACAGTTGTACGTGGCACCCGTGTTTGCACCTCTAAGAAATTTCCATTTTTTCGCATCAAAAAATCCAGATACGAAGCCGAAGCTGCTTTCTTCGCCAACCTGAAGCTGTCTGATTTCAACATTATTGATACCCTTGGAGTTGGAGGTTTCGGACGAGTAGAACTGGTAGGTGATTGTTCTTTAAGTGTTTATGAAAGCCTCTGTCTTCCTTTTCATGTTTTCTCCTAAAATTTCTTTCTCTCCTCTCTTATCATTAATCACTGTTGCTTATAAATCAGTACCAAATACTTTCATCCATGCATGTGAGAGTTTGTAGCACAGTGGGCTATAGTCAACAGATGAAAAATAAAATAAAAACTCAATTTCCATAAAGCCTCTTCATATTAAATGAAAGGTAAATACATTTACTTAATGAGGAGCCATAAAATATTTTTTTACCCAGCTGATTTTCTATAACCTTTATTTATTTCCTTAGTTCTGACCAGTGACCCACTAACTTAATTGTGCACCCTAACTATAATTATGATCATTTAAATGTGAACTCAAACTGGGAAAAGAGATGTAAATATATGAGATAAATGGTGTAGCAGAAATTCTATGATCTGTAGTTGCTAGATTAGAGATAATGGATTGAATATTTTGTATAGCTTATTTCACACATACTTCATTTATACACAGGTAAGTGTTGATGATGAGGACAGTTTGTACAAGTTCACACATAAAACACATTGCACAAATGTGATAAAGCAGCATGAAACTATATTCTATTTTGCATTTGTATGAAATAGAAATTTTAAAACTAACATTTGCAAGAAAAATTAGAAAAAGAAAAATATGCTGCTGACTGAGTTAGCTGAATTCCAAGACTGTGTAGATAAAAACCGTATTTGAGAATGCAGATTCATGTCCACCTTTCTGCTGAACACTGAGGACTCCCTGATATCAGACACCAGTACAGTATGTTAGGAACTCCCTGAGACTGTGTACAGTGTAGTAAACAGTTACTGTTGCCATCAAGAGTCAGAAGAAATCCCCTTCCATAAAAGTAGAGTGACCCAGAGTTATCTTTGATATTTTTCCATTTGTGCTGCAGTTGGAATTTCTGACCTTGACAAAAAGCAGAGAAATGTTATTTATTTAAATATTAGAAAAGAAGGTTTTTGAGCCATAAGTTCCTTCGGATTTGTATGATATTTGCCTTAACTCTGGTTAGAAATATTGTACTACTACTAATACTACTTCTGACTTGAAATTCTACCATGTGTTTCTGAGGAACTAAGTATTTTCAGTTATGTGAGTAAAAATTAACAGAATGTAGAAAAATCTCTTGCTTTTATGAATCCTGCCAATTAATGTAGCCTTAGATTTATTTTTCAAGAACTTTGGTTTTATGGTGAGTTTTAACTGTTCATACAGCTAATAAAGACTTATTTTTATTTTTTCTTCATTTTTTAAATTAATTGATTTTTTAAATACACAACAGCAGAATGCATTGAAAAATTCTTATTATACATCTAGAGCACAATTTTTCATATCTTTGTATATAAAGTATGTTCATGCCAATTCATGTCTTTATACATGTACTTTGTTTTTTGTTCTTTTGCATTACAGTTCTTATTACACATATATACCACAATTTTTAATATCTCTGTATATAAAGTATGTTGACACCCAATTCGTGTCTTCATACATGTACTTTGGATAATGATGTCCACCACATTTCACTAATAAAGATTTATTAACAGCATACATGAACAGCTTTGCTTTGGAGTATTGGAATATACAAGTGGAACAGAGGATAAAGGTCTTTACCATGAAGGTTTTTCTGTCTAGTGTATTTATTTACATAATGTATTTGTCTAAACCCCTTTCTGAATGAAGCTGTATAAAGAACAGAATTTCCCAGAGATTGATTTGTGGACTGTTTGTTAAAGTTCCTTAAATATTATTTTTATAGAACATGGGCTATAAATTGGCTGTTTTAGTTAACAAAAATAAAATATTACAACTTTATGGATGTCTGGAGGTCTGATAATTCTGAGTTACCAGTGAGATATTATTAAATGTAGGAATTTAGTAATTATTTTTGGAATATTGATAATATTGGTAATAGCTTATCATAGCTTTGAGACCACTTTAAGATGAACAATCACATACTAAGTTAATAGTGGGAGTCTTTTAGAAAATTCTATGAAAAATGTGTGAGACACAACTAACTGCAAAATTAAGGAAAGTTTATGTAAAAGGTAGTATAGCTTAAAAAAGATAAATATATCTATATGATTGTGTATGCATGTGCATGTTTGTATATATACATATTCATTTATTCATACACATACACATATTTATATAAACTCTCCCCATTCTTTACCAGGAAAGAATTCAGTCTAGTTTTCTTCTCATGCATATTGCATATTTTGCACAGATGTTTATAAAGAAATGAAAACTCTAATCCAAAGAAATAGTTTAGGTTGGAAATATTTCCCAGTTTTCCAAGACTAAATATTGATGAATGATAAATCTTTAATGGATCATCAAGTATGATAATTCTACGGGGGCGGGGGGTGGGATGGGGGGGGGGGCACATGTCCTTAAACTCTGAAGTCACATCTTGTGTTGTCGGAAAAACCCCAAACCCTGGGGTACAAGCATAACATCTAGATCATCTCCACTATTCACTGTGGATCAGCCATTTACATGGTGACTAATACTGTAATAATCACTGCCCCGAGTTTAGCCACTTAGTATCTGCTGGGTCATATTAATTACTGGGTGTGAAGAATATTCTCTATGATTGTAATATATATATATATATATATATATATATATATATATA